AAAATACCGTGTCACCGTTTAATAAATAAAAATGCTTACAGTTGAGAAGTCTAAGAGATAGCGGGACTGAGAAGTCTCTAATCACTTGCACGGGTCGATTATATTAATCGATAGCCGGCCTCGTGAATGTCGATGCCCGTGAGCCGTGTCCACGCGACGCCGGCGTGCGATGCGTGGTGAGCTTGAGCTGCCGTTGATGCTGTAGCTAAATGTCCTGGATGAGTCGCACAACTAAGGGTTCACCTCGAGTTCGCACAGAGTCACTTCTCGGATGAGAAAAGTCCACGAGAGCACACTAAAAGTCTTAAGCACTACACGACACTTGTACGTTGTACGGTTGCCATGAGCCAAAAGCGCCGGTAACGAGCGTGAAGAAGCGCCGTCGCCTCGTGTCGCGATCGGGCATGCGCGCGCAGCGCCCCGGCGGCGCTGCACGATCTGACCCGGCTGATGCTGCCATCACGCCGGTGACGAACTGACCGAGATTCAGAGATGAATCTCGAACATTAACCCAATCTACCACTATTTTCAAGTTGGCTACTTTTGCATTAGACACCCTGTATAACAGGTTACGTCGCTCATCGTTTTCGACATAGGTATCCATACTTAGGAGTTCCAACGCATACGTTAATTCCGTCGGATAACTGGCTGTCTTGCATTTTAAGAGGAAATTGCATTGAACCTTCAAAAGATTTTGAAAATGTTGGAAAAATTATGAATCCTGAATTCTCAGCATTCCATGGTAATGAACTCTCGAGGGAACCTTTTATTTTCGACAGAGTGACGGACCTTGTCTAAAAAAAAATCAATAATTCCCTGCCAAGAAATGTATTAGCATACTTGGTTCGAACAAGAACATACATTAGATTAAGGCATATGAATTTAGAAATTAAATGAAATAACACTATTAAAGAAGTTGGAAAAAACAAAATTGTTTGAGATTCCTCCAGTTATCTCAATTGTACTGCCCTCGCCATCTCACGGTTATTCGCGAGGCCCAGTGGTACTGCGCGCGCGACCGCACGACCGGGTAACGAGCACGTGTCGGGCCCGTGAACATGGCTCGAGGGCTTGCGCGCAAGCTCAGAGAGTTCAGTTGTCGTGTGAAAGCAGCCGTTGTAAGCGGTGGTAAAGTTCGCATCGACATACGAAAAGTATCGCGCTCGCGCTCACGGGAATAAGTGCGATCTCAGTGCTTGTTCGCTCACATTAACAATTAGTGCTCACCCCTGGACAGACTCATTAGTTAAGTGCTCAAGTCGAGTGCATCGGTGTTCTGCGCAAAGGCCTCTCATGTTGTACTTGCACGCTCGCTTGTAGCCGGCCACCGGCTCAACGGGCGGCACATCCCCGACGGTCTTGTGCGAACAAGAGAGCTCGACGGACTCGCTCACCTCAATCATACGCCTCGGTAACGCTCAACTGTATATAGTGTATGTTCGCGGCGAATGAACTACCATTCGAATTGACCGGGTTACCGGCCGAGCGGCGTTGCCACGATACGGCACGAGCGCTCGGCGGTGCCGGCCGCGCGCGTGCGCGGCGTGCGAGCGTGTGCGAACGGAAGCGAGCGCGGCGTGCGAGTCGCGGCTTCCGTAACTTTCCTTCCGGTGAAGAAGAGCGATCCGGGAGGGAGGCCATTGTGGTAGCGACGGCGGTGGCTGACGGACGTTTGTGCGCGGACTGCCAATCTGAACGAAGCGTTGGGCCAGACGAGGGACGGAGAGCGCAAGGACGAGCCCGGCCAGAGCGAGCCAGCCGTTGCCGGTGAGCACGGCCCTGAGGGCATCAAGTACCCGCCGGGAGCCGCCGAGCTGCAATAAAGGCGCGTGGCGGAATTATCGGAAGGGCGCACGGCCCGCCGAGCGGCCATCTTCTACCACACACGACCCGCAGAAGGGGGACCCTGCCCGGGCAACCTCGCCGGTGCCAGGCGTCTGCCCGTTGGGGACGCCGACCGCCCTGTGGCGGCTGAGGGGCGTCGATCCGGCCGAAGCGCCGGGAGGCGCAATCGTTCTAAGGACAAGGTAAATTGTGGGGCGTCCGCGGGGCGCGAGGGGGGGCGGCGACGGCCATTCGGGCCTCCTGCCGTTCGTGTTCCGTGCGCGCCGTCTCGCTGTCGCGGTACCTTGGGGAGGGCGGGACTGCCACGTTGTGGGTCTCGTCGCTCTATTTCCCTCTTGTCGTTTGCGGCACTTGGGTATCTGTATTGGGGCCGGGACCGGGGTGTCCGGTCCCGGTATGCGCGGGCCGTGTTCGTGGGTGGACGCGTGCCCGCCGACGGCGAGGGGGGTGCGGTCAGGGGGCCCGCCGCACCACCCTCCCATGGGCGTTGAGCCGCGGATGTTCCGCGGTTCTTCGTGGCCTTTCGACCGGGCGGTGGGACGGCGTGCGCATTCTCCAGGCCGACGGGTGCATTCTCGGTGACGACGGGTGCATTCTCGGGGAGACCGGGGGGGTGTCGGCCGGCAACGGCGCACCACCATTTCGGGCCATCGCGGCCATTTCGGTCGCGTACAGTGTCGGTTGGCCTCGCACAGCGACACTTCCGCGCGGCGCGATGCGTGCGCACACCTGCGTGGAGGGGGGGCGTCGGATTACAACGGCGCCCGCCGTTTCGGGCTTCCATAGTCATTTTATGTAACGCGTGTTGCGACCAACGCGAGTGGACATGTATGAGACGAGTGGTGGCCTGCACCGCCAGTGCGGCGGTCAGGCATTGAGATCAAATAAAGTATACGCTTGCTCGGGCTTTTCCCTCAATCCGGAGGGTTTTTATGCCTCAGCAAGCGGTTGCATATCGCGAATTGTGTCATGATTGTGTGATCCCTGCTACGACTGCATCCCACTTCCTTAGCTACGAACCTGAAGGGAAATAACTTATAGCTATGAGACTTATGCGCGTACCGAACGTCCGAGGCGTTCTGAGGATAGAAGTTCCAATCGGAATTAACTGCAATAGAGGAATACGACTAACACAGACAAACAGTGTACATACAATTAAACAGTTAACTCATTTTAACAACCGAATCGTAGTCATTCTCGCCACGTTGCACGTCCTTTCTCACCCCCCGATCCACTCGCAGCGCTCACGGAAATTTCGCGATCTTTCGATCTCATGACGAGATTCGAAAGGGAGGAAATTTCCCAAACATTTGGTCCTTCGAGCCGGATGCAGCGTGGTGACGTGACACTCAAGTTTGCGAGCACTCGATCTTTTCTCATATCGCGTACGGTATAAATTCAGTGCGTCTCCTTGTGATCACGTGCGCCTTTCGTGACAAGGACTCGCTGCCATCTCAGTGTTGTCACGACGTGATCACGCAGTAACGAAGTGACATTCTCGCGGGCAAATCGAGCAGCTGTGACTGTGAATTTGAACTTCGCTGTCTTCGTGGCGAACCAACAATATCGGCTCTCAGTCTGTTCGGTGGCTCGTGCTGCTCAGTGGTGCTCATCGTGTGGTGTAGTGTTATCACCGTGTTCCGCTCATCATGCCTGACACAGAGAAGGCCGCCAAAGCAGATGCTGAGGAAAAGACAACCTCGGGTCGGCAATCTCCTCTCACCCTCAATGTGCCTGGTCAAAAGACCGCCCCCAAGGGGACAGCTTCTGGCAACACTCAAGGACGCAGCTCACGTCAGACTTCTCCAGCTCGTCTCTCCACCGAGCTCACACTCAAGGTGAGATTTCAAATGAGTCGTTTCAATACTATAAAACTCATTGCAGACGCGAAGGTTGTTGACCCCGAGAGCACTTCACTCGGGGAGGTCAAAGCAGCGCTGTCTCAATTGGAGGAGCTACATAAGGCGTTCTTGAAGGAGCACGCTTATTTCGAGATAACATGGCCTGAGGCATATTTGGATCACGAGTATTTTGCGGACAACATCCATGAAAAGGAAGCTCATCTCGTGATCTCAGCTAAGCTACTGCTCAACAAGGTCAAACAGCGACTCAAACCATCTTCACCGCGTGCAGCCTCTCCTGATCCGGAAAACCCAGTCCACTCACGTTTGCCAGACATTAAGTTGCCCAAGTTTAATGGTGATTACTCAACGTGGCCCACCTTTCGTGATCTTTTCTCCTCTGTAATCTTGCAGCACTCAAAGCTCAATGACGTGGAGAAACTTCACTATCTCAGAGGCTGTGTGCAGGGCTCAGCGGAACAGCTCATTCGAGGTTTGCCTCTCACCGGAGAATCTCTTCAGCCATCCTGGGAGCTGCTCACCTCGAGGTTTGATAATAAGAGACTCATCATACAGGCTCACCTTGATGGTCTCCTTAACCTCTCGCATGCCTTACCCAAGAACGCCGCATCGCTCACCAAGCTAGTCTCAACAGTGTCCGAGATTGATAAGGCTCTAAGTTCGCTTGGCATGGCGGAGCACATGTGGAATTGCTTCTTGGTCCATCACGTGTCACGCTTCCTGGATAGAGACACCAGAGAGGCGTGGGAAACCTCGCTTGGATCATCTCAAGAGTATCCGCGCTTTGCGAAATTTGAAACCTTCCTCAATGCCAGGGCGAGAGCATTGGAGAGAGTGGAGGCTGCACCACCTTCTTCGGGCAACTCATCGAAAGTCTCACCCAGCTCATCTAAATCTGCTAACAAAAAGGCGACTGCTCACCAAGTATCTGCTCCCACACATTCTCAGTCATTCTCTGCTGCGGCTCACCCGTGCGACATGTGCAATGGACAGCACTTCATTGTAACGTGCTCCAAGTTCAGGGATCTCACGCCAGCACAACGGAAGACCACCGCAATCGACAAGAGGCTGTGCTTCAATTGTCTGGGGCGCCACAATGTCCGCTCATGCAGATCCGCGCTGAGCTGCAAGACATGCTCAGCCAAACATCATACGATGCTGCATGCGGAACAGTCTGCGGCTGCATTGACCCCTGCTCAACCTGCCTCATCACCAGCTCACTAGGAATCAGGTGCAATCGTCAAGGAATTAAGTCAAGCTCACGCACATTATTCAACGCTACTTGCAACTGCAATGGCATGCATACACTCAACGGTCTCAACACATCAAGCAAGGCTACTCATCGATCAAGGATCTGAGCTCACATTCATCACGGAGGATCTCGTCAGACAACTCAACATACAACGTCGACACGCAACTGTCTCAATCATTGGCATTGGAGCCAGGAAAACGACTAGGACCAAGGGCGTGGTGACGCTCACGCTTCACTCCTATCATTCTAAGCACACTGCCATTATTCAAGCCCACGTCCTCAAAACACTAGCGACCATTCTACCATCTTTTACAGCACCTCAACAAACGTGGCCACACATAGAACCTCTGACATTGGCAGACCCACAGTTCCTCACGCCACGTTCAATCGACATCATCATTGGAGCTGATGCATACGGGCAGATTATCAAGCCTAACATCATTAAACGATCTCCTGACATGCCAATCGCTCAACTCTCATTATTTGGTTGGCTAGTGCTTGGTCCAGTCAGCTTGTCACCATTACAAATGTCGACTGCGCATCACATCAAGGTTAACCAGTACGATCTCGATCTTCAAGAATTGCTGACAAGGTTCTGGGTGCAAGAAGAGCTACCAACTGATGCAGCAGACCAGCTTACCTTGGAAGAACAACAATGTGAAGATCATTACAAGGCCACACACTCTAGAGATCCAACGGGACGATACATTGTACGCATCCCGCTCAAGCTTCCAACCAGTGTCTTAGGGAATTCACATAATACTGCTCATCATTGTCTCCAGCGCATTCTCAGACGACTCAACAAGGATAAGGAATATCAA